CAATTAAAGTCATGTTCGTTCAACCGCTGGCTGCGCTTGGTCTCCTTCATCCTAGACGATCGTGGACAGAATAACCCACCATAAAAGGACCGAAGCAGCGCGTCCCAGGAGCAAAGGGTCTGGACATGGAGGAACTGTTTGCGGTAAAGGGTCCTGGACTTGGGAGGAGATCCTGGATGGTATGGATCGCCGACCATGGAACGAGACGGTGGAGAGGCGACGGCGAGAGGAGCAACGGCATCGGCAGGGCCATCGTCGGAAGGACGAGAGGCAACCCCAAAAAGTTTTTTGGGGGGGGCACATGGCTTGGGCGACTGAGCAGCAGGAGGCTGCCACAAGGCAGATTCAGAAGGCTACCAGGTTAAGGGGGCTGACGGAGGCAGAGAAGGGACGGATTCAGGAGGCTACCAGGTTAAGGGGGCGACTGGGAAAGGCAGGGAAGGAAGGTGTAGAGGCACGGCGAGAGGTACTGGGGTGTGTAACCAGTCCGGTCCGGCCCGTTCCTAATCCCGAGGTACAGCCAGTAGTGTGTGTCCCCAGTACGGTACGGCCTGTTCCGGCCCCTCGCACTAAGTGTACGGTGCGCGTCGCCAGCCCAGCCCGGCCTGTTCCTGAGCCTCATACGAAGCCTACGGTGCGCGTCGCCAGCCCAGCCCGGCCTGTTCCGGCCACTCGCACCAGGGATACGGTGCGCGTCGCCAGCCCAGCCCGGCCTGTTCCTACTCCACGCACCAGGGATACGGTGCGCTTCGCCAGCCCGGCCCGGCCTGTTCCGGCCACTCGCACCAGGGATACGGTGCGCGTCGCCAGCCCAGCCCGGCCTGTTCCTACTCCACGCACCAGGGATACGGTGCGCTTCGCCAGCCCGGCCCGGCCTGTTCCGGCCTCTCGCACCAGAGATACGGTGCGCGTCGCCAGCCCAGCCCGGCCTGTTCCTGCTCTCCGCACTAGGCCTTATGTGCGTCCCCAGGGTCCAGCATGCCCTGTTGCTGCTCTCCGCACTAGGCCTTATGTGCGTCCCCAGGGCCAAGCATGCCCTGTTGCTTCTCCCCGCACTAGCCCTGAGATGCGTGTCCTCAGCCCGGTACCTCCAGTTCCGGCACCACGCATCAGGCCTACGGTGCGTCTCAGACGGCCAGAGTCTGCCGTCTGCCCAACGGGGCCTGAACTGTCCGTCTGCCCAACGCCGCCTGAACTGCCCGTCTGCCTAAAGCCTGCAAAGCCGCCCGTCTGCCATGAGCCATCAGAGCCGTCCGCCAGACCAGAGCCGCTAGAGCCTTCCGCCAGACAGGATCAGCCAGAGCCTTCTGCCAGACAGGATCAGCCAGAGCCTTCTGCCAGACAGGATCAGCCAGAGCCTTCTGCCAGACAGGATCAGCCAGAGCCTTCCGCCAGACAGGATCAGCCAGAGCCTTCCGCCAGCCATGAGCAGCCAGATCCGTCGGCCAGCCATGAGCAGCCAGATCCGTCGGCCAGCCATGAGCAGCCAGATCCGTCGGCCAGCCATGAGCAGCCAGATCCGTCAGCCAGCCATGAGCAGCCAGATCCGTCAGCCAGCCATGAGCAGCCAGATCCTTCAGCCTGCCATGAGCCGTCCAGCCAGGATCCGCCAGAGCCAGCCAGCCAGGATCCGCCCCTTAGCCAGGTGCTGTCCCTTAGCCCGGTGCTGCCCCTAAATCCAGGTGGAGTAAGTTGGAGGGTGGTCATGTGGAGGAGGCTAGGGAAGCGGGTGGTGACTAAGGTGGGGTGGGGACCACGACCAGGGCCAGAACCGCCACCGTGGACAGACGCCCACCCAGACCCTCCCCGAGACTGTATGCTGGTGCGCCCGGAGTGCGCACCTTTAGGGGGGGGGTACTGTAACACTCTGGCTCCGGGACTTTTGTATTTGAGCCAGGGTGTATTGTGTTTTGTTGGGTTTTGGGTGATTTTCTATGTTGGTAGTTCTGTTGTGTGTGTTTCTAGGTTTGGTCATTGACTCCCAATCGGAGGTAACGAGTGTCAGCTGTCGGCTCGTTATCTCTGATTGGGAGCCATATTTATTCTGTATGTTTTCTTGTGGGCATTGTGGGTTATTGTTCCGTGTTTCAGTCGTTGTACTGTGGACTTCACGAGTCGTCTTTTGTTTTGTATTTCGGTGCTTTTTCAATTAAAGTCATGTTCGTTCAACGCGCTGCGCTTTGGTCTCCTTCACTCCTAGACGATCGTGACAGCTTTACCCACGTGTATTCTGGCTTTGCTCAATCCCATCGGTTTCTGGGACCAATCAGAACTGCCAGAATGTTTTTCCGTTCTAGAAATCGTTGGGGAGAAATGAACACCTGTGGGCATGGCATAGCGTTTGTCCGGAGCAAAGAGTTTTTTCTCCACTCAAAGATGAAATCACAAGAACGCTTGTGTCAGAGAGTTCTCACCTCTACAGTTCCCTCTACTGGACTGCATTACAGAGCATGATCAACATGTTATCCAGCTGAAGACAAACCTTCAGAGACAGTAGCTGTTTGAATTTCAGTCTTCCTCTAACACCGAAGACATATGGAATTGTTTAAGGATATGTAGGAAAGTTATCTGGCTAACTCTTCGATGGAGTTATACCCCCTAGAACTCCTCAATCTGGTTCAGGGGACCCAGAGTCTGAACTGAACTGTTGGTTTTGGCAGAGAGAGAGACCATTGTTTTCTGAGCCGTTTGATGCTGTGGGTGGTCCTTCTGAGTTTGATTGGATTTTAGAGTGCATGTGAGAGTGCATGTGAGAGTGCACATGAGAGTACACGTGAGAGTAAACAAGTGCACTTCCTTAATATAGTTGAACGTGGCCATTTCCTCTAAGCTAAATCCATTTGAACAGATTAAATGAGGATGTTCCTGTGCTCTTAGTAGTGTCATACAAAAAGAAATAACAACAACTAGATGAGCTTTTCCTTGTAACAATCAGCCCTTTAACTGTTAAATCCTATATTTACTATGCAACAGTTTTCATAATAATAATTATAATAACAATAATAGTAGTATGTAGTAGCTAGTAGTGTTGCCTCACCAGCTAGTCAACAAAGGAAAGCAGAGCAAGACCATGGATTAGACTAGATACTGGAAACAACAAACCCTTCTGTCTCTATACTCTAGATACTGGAAACACCAAACCCTTCTGTCTCTATAGTCTAGATACTGGACACACCAAACCCTTCTGTCTCTATAGTCTAGATACTGGACACACCAAACCCTTCTGTCTCTATAGTCTAGATACTGGAAACACCAAACCCTTCTGTCTCTATAGTCTAGATATTGGAAACACCAAACCCTTCTGTCTCTATAGTCTAGATACTGGACACACCAAACCCTTCTGTCTCTATAGTCTAGATACTGGACACACCAAACCCTTCTGTCTCTATAGTCTAGATATTGGAAACACCAAACCCTTCTGTCTCTATAGTCTAGATACTGGAAACAACAAACCCTTCTGTCTCTATAGTCTAGATACTGGAAACACCAAACCCTTCTGTCTCGATAGACTAGATACTGGAAACACCAAACCCTTCTGTCTCTATAGTCTAGATACTGGAAACACCAAACCCTTCTGTCTCTATAGTCTAGATACTGGAAACACCAAACCCTTCTTTCTCTATAGTCTAGATACTGGAAACACCAAACCCTTCTGTCTCTATAGTCTAGATACTGGAAACACCAAACCCTTCTGTCTCTATAGTCTAGATACTGGAAACACCAAACCCTTCTGTCTCTATAGTCTAGATACTGGAAACACCAAACCCTTCTGTCTCTATAGTCTAGATACTGGAAACACCAAACCCTTCTTCTCTATAGTCTAGATACTGGAAACACCAAACCCTTCTGTCTCTATAGTCTAGATACTGGAAACACCAAACCCTTCTGTCTCGATAGACTAGATACTGGAAACACCAAACCCTTCTGTCTCTATAGTCTAGATACTGGAAACACCAAACTCTTCTGTCTCTATAGTCTAGATACTGGAAACACCAAACCCTTCTGTCTCTATAGTCTAGATACTGGAAACACCAAACTCTTCTGTCTCTATAGTCTAGATACTGGAAACACCAAACCCTTCTGTCTCTATAGTCTAGATACTGGAAACACCAAACCCTTCTGTTTCTATAGTCTAGATATTGGAAACACCAAACCCTTCTGTCTCTATAGTCTAGATACTGGAAACAACAAACCCTTCTGTCTCTATAGTCTAGATACTGGAACCACCAAACCCTTCTGTCTCGATAGACTAGATACTGGAAACACCAAACCCTTCTGTCTCTATAGTCTAGATACTGGAAACACCAAACCCTTCTGTCTCTATAGTCTAGATACTGGAAACACCAAACCCTTCTGTCTCTATAGTCTAGATACTGGAAACACCAAACCCTTCTGTCTCTATAGTCTACATACTGGAAACACCAAACCCTTCTGTCTCTATAGTCTAGATACTGGAAACACCAAACCCTTCTGTCTCTATAGTCTAGATACTGGAAACACCAAACCCTTCTGTCTCTATAGTCTAGATACTGGAAACACCAAACTCTTCTGTTTCTATAGTCTAGATAGTTTTATTTATTTATTTATTTCACCTTTATTTAACCAGGTAAGCCAGTTGAGAACAAGTTCCCATTTACAACTGCGACCTGGCCAAGATAAAGCAAAGCAGTGCGATAAAAACAACAACACAGAGTTACATATGGGGTAAAACTAAATATAAAGTCAAAAATACAAAAAGGAAAATATATCTACAGTGTGTGCAAATGTAGTAAGTTATGGAGGTAAGGCAATAAATAGGCCATAGTGCAAAATAGTTACAATTTCGTATTAACACTGGAATGATAGATGTGCAAAAGATGATGTGCAAATAGAGATACTGGGGTACAAATTAGCAAAATATATAACAATATGGGGATGAGGTAGTTGGGTGGGCTTCACCTGCACTCCCTGGCTGTGTAACATCCACCCAGACTACATGAAGGTAGTAAATAGACCGTTATATGGATAAACATACCGATCTCAGCGCTGCAGAAGTGTTGCTGGGGGTGGGCTGGGATGCAGCTGCAAGCTTCCAGCAGGTGGTCCAGCCTGAGGGCCAGCAGCAGGGTGACGGTCAGGGTCAAGACCAGGGGGGTCAGGGACACACAACCAGGCAGGGGGATGCCCATATCGATATCTCTCGGTCTCTCTCTCGATCCTCTTGTCTCTCTCTCTATCTCTCTCTCTCTCGGCTCTACTTATCTCTCTGTCTCTATCTCTCTCTCTTGCTCTCTTCTCTCTCTCTCTCGCTATCTCTCTCTCTGTCTCTCTCTATATCTCTCTCTGTCTCTCTCTCTCTCTCTCTCTCTCTCTCTCTCTCGCTCACCGACAGAATGACTCCTCTCTTCAGATCAGCGCCGCCTTTTTCACTTCCCAGGTCTAGCTTGTAGAAGAGATTCTATCTCAGAGAGACTAACCTGACTAACCTGGAAAACTATCGAGATCTGCTGCCTGTTTAGATATGTCCCACTTCTTCTGGTCCTCTCCTGGAGGATCAACACAGTATCAATCTATTTCATCTATCAGTCCTGTACGAGAGACGAGAGGTTGCTAGGGAAACAACCTTACTACTACTGACTGCCACATTCAGAATCTGCTGCTACTACAACCTTTCTATATCTCTGTCTCTGTCTCTCTCTTTCACACTCTCACTCTCTCTGAATCCTGAGAGTGTGAGACTGGGAACCTCTTACGAACTACATATCGACCGAATCGCAAAACTCACCACGCCAAAACCATCACTCCAGCACGATAAAAAACGCGAGAAAAAGACGAAAGGGAAACAAAAAGCCACGTAATCTAAAGCAAGCAACGAAAAGGAAATACAACACCAAGACAGGAAAAAAGAAGAAAAGACAAGACGACCTCCCACTCCTACCCGCAGCCCCCTCCACGCCCTCCACTCTCCCTCCCTCCTCCCTCTCCTCCTCCCTCCATCCCTCCCCTCCATCCCTCCTCTCCCCTCCCCCTCCTCCTCCCCTCCACTCCTCCCCTCCACCACTACCAGGCAGCAGTGAGTGTTTTCAGTCGTCAGCTCGGTTTGTGCCTCAGTTAAAAACACAAGTAGAAGAACAACTCTGACAATGGTAAAGTAGACCAGGAGAACTGCAGCTTGTTTTGAATCCTAGGAGGTGACTGATGGCTCTGTGTGATTGTTTTGAATCCTAGGAGGTGACTGATGGCTCTGTGTGATTGTTTTGAATCCTAGGAGGTGACTGATGGCTCTGTGTGATTGTTTTGAATCCTAGGAGGTGACTGATGGCTCTGTGTGATTGTTTTGAATCCTAGGAGGTGACTGATGGCTCTGTGTGATTGTTTTGAATCCTAGGAGGTGACTGATGGCTCTGTGTGATTGTTTTGAATCCTAGGAGGTGACTGATGGCTCTGTGTGATTGTTTTGAATCCTAGGAGGTGACTGATGGCTCTGTGTGATTGTTTTGAATCCTAGGAGGTGACTGATGGCTCTGTGTGATTGTTTTGAATCCTAGGAGGTGACTGATGGCTCTGTGTGATTGTTTTGAATCCTAGGAGGTGACTGATGGCTCTGTGTGATTGTTTTGAATCCTAGGAGGTGACTGATGGCTCTGTGTGATTGTTTTGAATCCTAGGAGGTGACTGATGGCTCTGTGTGATTGTTTTGAATCCTAGGAGGTGACTGATGGCTCTGTGTGATTGTTTTGAATCCTAGGAGGTGACTGATGGCTCTGTGTGATTGTTTTAATGAGACCTACAGTCTGGAACACATTTGGATCTTTGTAGTTCAGCTGTGGCACTGAAATGTAATGTTACAGTTGAGAGCAGATTTAATCTTCTGTCTTGGAGGTTCACAGCTTGATTACTATGCTGGACACGAGCCCTCAATATGTTGTGGACAGTAGTGGAGTCTGTCTCTGTGTGTGTGTGTGTGGCGGCAACACGCCTACTCTCCTGTCTCAGGTTATTAACCATGAACACATCCTCACTGATACACAACAAAACATGGATAGATGATACTTTCATTTGGTTCTATTTGCATACAATATATCTTGTTGTTGATTGTACTACATCTAACTCTGTCACAAATCCCTGCTCCCCAGCCTGTTTTGTCATATACCTGCTCCCCAGCCTGTTTTGTCATATACCTGCTCCCCAGCCTGTTTTGTCATATACCTGTTCCCCAGCCTGTTTTGTCATATACCTGTTCCCCAGCCTGTTTTGTCATATACCTGCTCCCAAGCCTGTTTTGTCATATACCTGCTCCCCAGCCTGTTTTGTCATATACCTGCTCCCCAGCCTGTTTTGTCATATACCTGCTCCCCAGCCTGTGAGTTGACTCATTCAAACTGTTTGGCAACAGCACAGTGTTAAATGTCTGCTAGCCCTGGTGTTTATCCTATGGCAACATGGATACATTCAGTCAGTCAGTCTGCCAGTCAGCCAATCAGTTATTCAGTCATTCATTCAGTCAGCCAATCAGTCATCCAGCGAGTCAGCCAGTCTGCCAATCAGTAATTCTATCACATTTCAGGAGAAGACCCAGATGCAGACAGTGTTGAAGAAACAAAAGTTTATTACAAAAACAGGGGGCAGGCAAACGGCAGGTCAAGGGCAGGCAGAGGTCAGTAATCCAGATCAGATTCCAAAAGGTACAGAACAGCAGGAGACAAAGGGCTGTGAGACATGGATTTGATCCTAGACACATGAAAAGTGGGATGTATACAGAGGGTATGGGGCAACAGAAGACGAAAAGCAGAAGGGTTAATGATCTTGGAGATGGGGAAAGGGCCGGTAAACCGGGGGGAAAGTTTGCGGGACTCCACCCGGAGGGGCAGATCTAGGGTGGACAGCCATACCTTCTGCCCGAGACGATACCGGGGAGCCGGGGTCCGGTGGCGGTCCGCTTGTCATCGATACCTGGAGGTGGTCTTGAGAAGAGCCAACTGGGCTCTCCTCCAGGTACGACGACAGCGGCGGATAAACATCTGTGCCGAGGGTATGCCGACCTCTTCCTCTTGCTCCTAGAAGAGCGGGGGATGATAACCCAGGGAACACTCAAAGGGCGAAAGGCAGAGCAGGGAAGGCTGTTGCGGGTGTATTCGACCCACACTAGTTGCTGGCTCCAGGTGGTGGGGTTGGTGGAGACCAGGTAGCGCAGAGTCGTCTCCAGGTCTTGGCTGGCTCGCTCCGACTGGCCGTTGGACTGAGGGTGGAAACTGGAGGACAGGCTGGCCGACGACACAATGAGTGTGCAGAACGCCTTCCAGAACTGGGACAAGAACTGAGGACCCCGTTCAGAGACCATGTCCACAGGGAGTACATGGATCCGGAAGATGTGCTGCACCATGAGCTGGGCCGTCTCTTTGGTGGAAGGTAGCTTGGGGAGAGGAATGAAGTGGGCGGCTTTGGAAAACCGGTCCACAACTGTCAGGATGGGGGTGTTGCAATCAGACATAGGAAGACCCATGACAAAGTCCAGGGATATGTGAGACCAGAGACGGTGAGGAACAGACAGAGGTTGGAGGAGACCAGCCAGAGCTTGCCGAGGAGTCTTTGTTCTGCGCACAGATCATGCAGGGGGTGACGAACGCGGAGATGTCAGGAACCATGGTAGGCCACCAAAAGGAGCGGACAGCGTCAGGAACCATGGTATGCCACCAAAAGGAGCGGACAGTGTCAGGAACCATTGTATGCCACCAAAAGGAGCGGACAGCGTCAGGAACCATTGTATGCCACCAAAAGGAGCGGACAGCGTCAGGAACCATTGTATGCCACCAAAAGGAGCGGACAGCGTCAGGAACCATGGTAGGCCACCAAAAGGAGCGGACAGTGTCAGGAACCATGGTATGCCACCAAAAGGAGCGGACAGCGTCAGGAACCATGGTAGGCCACCAAAAGGAGCGGACAGCATCAGGAACCATGGTAGGCCACCAAAAGGAGCGGACAGCATCAGGAACCATGGTAGGCCACCAAAAGGAGCGGACAGCATCAGGAACCATGGTAGGCCACCAAAAGGAGCGGACAGCATCAGGAACCATGGTAGGCCACCAAAAGCATTGTCGCACAAAGGCCAGGGTCCAAC